AATTTTGAGAGATATTATGAGTTCTTAGACTTGTGCATTAATAGAAGTACAGGGTTTTTAATTACAAAGATACATGTTTTTAAAATTTTATTTAAATAATAACTGATATCTGGATTAATTTCACTGTAGTCATAAAGCAGATATTGTAGCCCAGCCAGTGTGGCTCAGTGGTTGAGCGTCAACCCCTGCACCAAGAGGTCACCAGTTCAATTCCCAGTCAGGGCACATGCCCAGGTTGTGGACTCGATCCTCAGTAGGGGGCATATAGGAGGCCACCAATCACTGTTCTCTCTCCCTCTCCCTTCCTCTCTCCTAAAATCAATAAAAAAAAAAAATATATATATATATATATCAATAAAAAATAAGGCAAATATTGTATATATAACTGTAGTCTTTTCAAACAGGCGGAGACATGATTTATTGCCAACATATTGTCAATTATCGTAAATATTCCATATGCACTTGAAAAGAATGTGGAATCTGTTATTGCTGGATGCAGTGTGTTTATGTCAATTAGGTCAAAATTGTTATTTGTGTTCTTCAAATTATTTCAATACTTTCTGGTTTGTCCCTGCATGTTGTATCAGTTACTGAGATATAAAATGAAATTATCCAGCTATTATAGAGATTTATTTATTTCTCTTCAAAGTCTTGCTACTTGGTCAAAGCCAGAAGAAAATTCCTGGTGTCCTTAGTTGATGGAACTTTCACTACATTTCCAATAATATCTATGAGTACTCTTGGGTTTTTTCTATTTCTTATTGTGTGAATTTTAATAACGTTTTTTAGCTACAAAGTCATCAGTAATATTTTCTTAATACTTATATCTTCTTTTATATCTATAGTTATTACATCTTATTTATTTCTAATGTTGAAAGACTCTGTTTTAAAATTTTCAAAGTTTTGTTTGTTTCAAGAAACAAGTTTTTAATATTTATCTATTCTACTATTTTTTTCTGCATATTTAATTAAATATATCTTTGTGTATTTTGCTCTAGTTTCATTTGGTTTTGGGTGATACTGTTTATAGAATATTTTGATTTAATATTTAGTTAATTTATTTTCAGTCTGAAGTTTAAAAGAGCACACATTTCTCAATTTTATCTGTGTCTCAGTGTTATCAGTGGGGTGCCTTCTGCATCCCCACCTGTTACTGGCGGAAGTGGAATTCTTTTAGTGTCGCAAGGAAAGGAACTTCTTGAGACTTGCATGGGAGGATGAGTGATCTTTATTTCCTTAGAATTAAACCCCTGGGCTTCCAAGGCCCCATTTCCCTCCCTCCCGCCATGGAAAAAGACCAGTCTTGTCTTCAATAGGGCCAGGATTAAAGCCACTGCCCAGAATTCTGCTCCATATTTAAGACCAGTCTAGTCCAGCATCTGGCTGGGTTAACTTGTGTCCCCAGATGCCGTCCATTATGTGTGGGGGCCACATGGGCCATGTGGTTTCCTAAAGGCCACATGATGGGTGGGTGCAGGTCACAGACCAAGAGTGCCAGAGCACAAGGGCAGAACAAGAGAGGGAAAACTTTTTGTATGAAAATTATAACCAGGAGCTTAACCAATTAACCCTTCAAGATTTTGCACATTTGCAGTGGCTTCACCCCTTCCCCCAGCCAATTATTTTTCCCCAGGTTAGACTGACAGGCAGGCACCTTACCTCTGTCACCCCTACTTCACTGTGCTTTCCCCCATCTCCCCCTTTGTTCGATCCCATTCCCCAGTGATCTGCAGGGAATGGACCAATGGTTCCTTGGCTGGCATGAAGTTGCAGCTTCCTGGTGAAGCTGCCAAATGACCATTCTTATAATGTCTGGTCTCCACTTTGCTCTCTTCCTATATTAATATTAGCTAGCTAATTATGACTAACAATAGGCTATTAAAATAGTTCTATTTTTAAAGTAGTTTAAGATGATTTGTATATTTTATTTTTATTTGTTCACTGATCAGGGATATGATATTGTGATTTATAAGAAATATATGTTTGGTTATTCAGATGACCAAAATATATTTCTCATATATATTTAGTCTTCATCCATAGTTCCTGGCTTATAGCTTCCATAACCCTTGGAATTTCCTAAGTGTTGAGAGTGACAAAGTTTTCCGTTGTTATGCTAATGAGGTGACTTTTGGATCCCACCTAAAAATGGGGTCTGGTTTCCTGGGGGACCAACCATGTGATTAGAGGGTTGGAACTTGCAGTTCTGCCCTGGACCTTCCAGGAGGGGAGAGGGCCTGGAGGTTCAGTCTATCATCAATGACCAATGATTTTAATCAGTCATGACTATGTACTGAAGCATTCATAGAAATCCAAGAAGACAGGGTTCAGAGACCCTCGAATTATTGAACATGTAGAGGTGCTCAAAGAGTGGTGGGCCTGAAGAGGGCATGGAAGCTTCACACAATTTCCCCATATTTTGCCCTTTGCATCTCTTTCATCTGGCGGTTCGTGAGTTATATCCTTTTATAATAAACCAGTATCTAGTCAGTAAAACGTTTTTATGAGATCTGTGAGCCACTCTAGCAAATTGATCAAACCCAAGGAGGGTTGTCTTAGGAACCAGTCCGTTAGCAGCACAGGTAGCAACCTAGACTTGCAGCTGGCTTCTGTGTGTATGTATTGTGGGAGGCAATCTTGTAGGACTGAACCCTTAATCTGAAGGATCTTATGCTGTCTCCAGACAGATTGTGTCAGAATTGAACAGAATGGAGTTGAATTGCTTGCTTGTTGTCGGTGAGGGGAAATCCAACACCCTACATTAGAATTGATCTCAAAACACCTAAAAAGGGGTTATTGAGAATGTGTTTATTAATTTTCCTGTAGTTCAAGGTGTTGCTTTTATTAATTTAAAGTGTTATTGTATTGTGATTAGAAGATATATCCTCTAAAACTTTTAGTTTGCTGAATTTATTAATGTTTTTAATAGATAAACACATAATTTATATAAATATTCCAAGATTGTAAAAAAATTTATATTTTCATTTATAGAATAAAAATTTTTGTATAGTTGAGCTTGTTGTATGTATTCTCAAACTATTACTTTCTTGTTTATTTGTTGATTATTTGATCTTCACTCTCTCTTGATCTCCTTTCTCTAGGTTGTATTTTACATATATAAAGGTAATTTCTCCCTTTTTCTATTTAATGCTGTTTGACCATAGAATCAAATTTTTATCAGAATAATGGTAATCTTCCTGCTGTCTTTTCATTCACAATTGCTTGTAATGTAATGGTCTGTTTCTTTATTTTAAACATTTTTTCACTTTGTTTTAAATATGTTTCATGAAATCATGTTTTGATATTGCTTTTAACTCCTCTGACTTTTCAACTTTAAAATGTGTTGCTTGAGCATTCCAGATTTAATGTAATAGCTAATATATTTGGTTTTATTCCTTAATTTGCTTTCTATTTTCTATTTATTTTATTTTGTTGTTGTTTCCCTCTGTTCTTATTTTTATGAAGTTGATTAAGATTCTTTTTCATTTTCTTTCCTTTTGTTAAATTTGACCTTCCACTATGTTTTTATAATTCTAAAGGTGGAAAGTTTTCCATTCTTAATAGTTATTTTCAAATACATGCGTACATATAATAGCAAGGTAAAATAATAAATTAGCATTCCATTAACTTGCCTGACTTGCCCATTCCCCCTTCCCAGATAAAACTTAAATGTTTAGAAATATTTACATTCTGGATGAGACATTTTATTAATCTTCACACAACCTTAGGGCATTTCTAAGATAGTTTTAAAAAACTAGTTTAAAGCTATTATTATATTTTCCTTTACATGTTTCTTTTCTCCTCAAGAATCCTATTTAGCTATAAATACTCAATTACATAAAAAACATTCATCTAAACTATAAATACTTTAAGGAATATGTTTATTACTAATGTTTCTTTACATTTTTCTTTTCTGTCTCTTGATTCCTTGATTCTAAATAAATTAGCTTTTGGTCAGAACACTCTCACATATTTTCTTAGATTAGGGTACATGTTGCTAATGACAAATGAGTGCTCATGTGTTCTTAAAATATTTTTATTTTGCTTTTACTAATAAACACAAGTTGGCTGGTTATAGTAGTCATTTTTTTAAAAAGTTATACTGAGTTTTTATTGTCGATTTGAAGAATATGTGTTTCTAACAGTTAAAATGTGATAGGTGAATTTAACATATTAAGAGTTCTATAACACCTGTTCAGAAAAAAAATTTACTATACAAACTATTTTTCATGCAGAACCATTTTTCAGTGTCTTTTCAACTGAGAAGAATACTGTTCAGCATGCTTCTTCTCCTGAGGAGGTTCATACTGAGAAAGCTTTGTTTTTAGTTTATTTTCTCTACTAGAGCTTAATATTTCTCTTTTATTTCTGCCAATTCTAGGCAAAACGGCTCTGTTTCTGGATTTTCTGGGGTAGCAGCTCCTAAATGATGCTTTAAAAAGTCCAAAGCTCTATTAGGTTTCTCTGGTTTTTCAGATAAGGCTATATACCAATGTAACAGGGAATGAATATGCCATACTTATATAAAGCTACCCATATTAATCTTAGTAAATCTTAACCCACCTTGTTACTCGAACCTGATGTTTTTTCTCTCAAAACTAGAGCTTGCATATTAAAAGTTGTTTTAGTATATATTTCATAGTCCACTAGTTTCAATTCCTGTGTGAACCTAAGGAGCAGCCTGACTTTCAAGGTCCTGGCTGGCACCAACCACCCAGACACAGAAATTCATTGGCTAAAAACAAATCGCCAACTCAAAGACACTGACTGTACATCCACAGTCCCTCCCCCTGATTTCTTTGTTCTGCTTTCCCTCTCCCTCCTTATAGAAACCTCTTCCTGCATTGAGATGTTAAGAAGGGTTTTTGAGGAGAGGAGTTCTGACATCTTCTTGAGTCACTGGTAACTTGAATAAATCTCTTTTCTTTTCACCAGCACCGGTCTCATGAGTTTGGCTTTCATTGTAGCAGGGAGCTGAATCTGGGTTCAGTTTACACAAATACCTTGGTCAGTGTATCCAGCACCCCTGACTTCTCCAGGTAGCTCCAGAACTGCTCACATTTGAGTCGGCGGCTTTCCAAGGGGCCATTGTGACAGTGATAGTGGTGGAGCTGGTCCTGGAGACCGTGAATGGCAAGGTCTGAGCAGCACTGCTCGTGTTTAGAAGAGCATGCATACTGCCCTGGGTATAGTAGTCTTTGATTGTAAACCTTTTCTCTCATTTGTTTGCGGATCATGCCTTTGTTCTCCAGCTTCCAGTTTCAGCTTCTAGATGAAAAGTCTATAATGGCCTGATTTTATTTCTTTTGTAACTAGGCCATTATTTACATTGGTTAACTTGACTTTTTTCATCTTTAAATTCAGAAATTTCACCAGGACATCTACTCCTCCCCCCTCCCCCCATGAATCCTACCTGTTATTCAATGACATTTAAAAATTTACACTCAGGTCTTCAGCTTGGAATAATATTTTATTCTGTGTCAAATTCTTATTCTTCTATCCTTTATTTCCTTTTGGAACTTTATTATTTATGTGGTCAGTATCCTATATCTTTCTTTTTAGTCTCTTATATAATTGTCCTTTTATTGAGGTAAGATTGAGAGAGAGAGAGAGAATACTTAGTTTCTTATTTTTCTTGATGCTTTGGTGCTGTGGAGACTCAAGAGGAAGCAGCGGAATACTGGGTGAGCTTCTACATGAGGGCTAGAGAGAAATTTAGAAAGTTTGCATTCCCTGAGAAGCTTTATTTTGCTAAGTCCCATGAATCTCTTCCAGTAGGTGATGAACCTACAAATTCTTTGGCTTACTTTGCTGTTCATGGAAAAAGGTCCTCAATATTTTATTCAAGTAAACCTTCAGTTGACCTGCACTGGTGAGGCAAATGGATTTTTGTTCCTGTGATTAAGAGATGGCTGCTACTTGAACTTGGAGAGGCCTGAGAATAAGGATATTTTCTCAATACCCTCAGCTAAGTGGTAGTGGTTTGTCATGTATATTTAGAGTCAGATCACAGGAGTAGCAACTGTGCTATCTTCAACCTCTTGCTTGTGGAATGCAGCTTGACCAATAACCTGACTTATCTACTTACTAAAATAATTATTATTATCTGGCAAATTTATTTGCTGGCAAAGAGTAAAACTGCAGCCTGCTTAAAAGTGCTCAGAACCTTGATGGAGAAAGGCAAAGCTCAGCATAGAGCAAATGGTTTCTACTAAAGGTTGAAGAGAGACATGAGAATGGTAACAATAATGACAACAATGGAAGGACAATTCTAAAGGCACTTATGAGCACACATACATAAAAATGAAAACTTTTTGGAACTGACAAAAACATGTTATTTTAATTAAAAAATCAATTAGATATATATCCCTTTGTCCCTAGGTAGTTAGTCAAATCAAGTTAAAGAATTTCTTAAGCTATTTTGTGGTTAGACCTATGTGCAGCACTATTCAGAGATAAATTCTGTTCTCTTTATTTAATCTTGTCAGAGCAGGTGTAAGTTTTGACTATATTGTGATGTAGACTTATATATATTGTTATGATCTTCTCATCACAGTTCTTCATCTTTGTGTATAGAGAATGTTAGATGATCAGTGTAGTTGCTATATTTAATCTCCAATCTTAGGAGGGTCATAAGAGCAATGCTAGAAAGGAGAATGGATTTTTTTAAACAGACTTTAAATGTTTTGTATATATATTTCCATTTTTGTTGTTTTTAAATTCAATGAAAGCATTATTTGATCATAAGTAGAAAAATAATTAGTTGATTCAATTAATTTTAAATGGCGTTTGTCATATTATTCTATTGAAGGTCAAAGTTTTATCTTTTTGCAACATAATTGAGATAAAATGTCTTACTGCTTAAAACCTAAATGAGACATATGTCAATCTATACTAATGCTCACTATAAAACTACTAAACTTGTTTTTACTTTTGTTTCTTCTATTTCGCCTATTTGATCTACTATTGAGTATTTGGATAAATAGCTTTTGGGAAAAATATACTTTCAACGTGTATTTTAAAAATTAGGTTTCCCGCCAAAAGACCCTGAATAGCCACAGCAATCTTGAAAAAGAAGGACAAAGTAGGAGGGATCACAATACCGAATATCAGGTTATACTACAAAGCCATTGTAATCGAAACAGCCTGGTACTGGCACAGGAATAGGCATATAGACCAGTGGAACAAGAAAGAGAACCCAGAAATTGACCCAAACCATTATGCTCAATTAATGCTTGGCAAAGGAGGCAAGAACATACAATGGAGTGAAGACAGCCTCTTCAAAAAATGGTGTTGGGAAAATTGGACAGCTACATGCAAAAAAGGAACCAGACCACCAACTTATACCATACACAAGAAGAAAGTCAAAATGGATAAAAGACTTAAATGTGATTCATGAATCGATAAAAATTTTAGAAGAAAATGTAGGCAACAAAATTTCAGAAATCACACACAGAAGAATTTTTACTGATACAATGCCTAAAGCAAGAGAAACAAAGGAAAAAAATAATAAATGGGACTACAACAAACAAAAAAACTTCTGCATAGCAAAAGAAACAACCATCAGAATGGGAAGGGAGCCCACTATATGGGAGAGCATAATTGCCAATGATACATCAGATAAGGGGTTAATTTCCAAAATATATAGAGTATTCATACAACTCAACAAAAGAAAGACAAAGAACCCAATTAAAAAATAGGCAGAGGAGCTAGACACTTCTCCAAACAGGATGTACAAATGGCCAAGACATATATGAAGAAATGCTCAACATCGCTAATCATCAGAGAGATGCAAATTAAAACAACTGTGAGGTATCACCTCACACCTGCCAGAATGGCCGCCATCAACAAAGCATCAAACAACAAGTGTTGGCGAGAGTGGAGAAAAGGGGATTCTAGTACACTGCTGGTGGGAATGCAGACTGGTGTAGCCACTGTGGAAAACAATATGGTGTTACCTCAAAAAATTAAAAATTGATTTGCCATTTGACCCAGTGATCCCACTTCTAGGATTATATTCTAAGAAGCCTGAAACACCAATCAGAAAGAATATATGTACCCCCATGTTCATAGCAGCACTATTTACAATAGCTAAAATTTAGAAACAGCCCAAGTGTCCATCAAAAGATGAGTGGATAAAAAAGCTGTGGTACATATACACAATGGAGTACTAAGCAGCTATAAGAAAGAGAGATCTTTTACTCTTTGAGACGACATGGAGGGACCTAAAGAACATTATGGTAAGGGAAATAAGCCAATCAGAGAAAGACAAATATCACATGATCTCACTTATTTGTGGAATATAATGAACAAAATAGACCCAGAGACATAGAAAAGAGTATGGTTCAGACTGACAGACCTCAGAGAAGGGGAATGGGGGAGAGGAATAAGATAAACCACAGAACTTATATTTGTGTATGCATACCAATGGACATAGACAACAATGCTGGGGGCGAGGTGTGGTGGTGGATCGGGAGGAGGGTGTCTTGGGGGAAAAAGGAGAAACATCTGTAACAAAAATAAATTAATAAAAATTGTAACAAAAAAAATTGGTTCCCCTTACCCTCCATAATTGAAGAGTAACATTGTTATTGAGTCCATGAAGGTAACTACATTAAGTTATATTAATGTGCTGTATAAAGAATTTTTGGCTTGAGCCATCTGTCATTTAGGTTTTCCAATTTATGCAAAAATATTTTTAGATATTTTATGCAAAAATGTGCCCTGATTGCAACCTTTCCATATGTTTTTGTACAAATTTCTATTGGCATGTCTTTTCTTTCCAGGTTTTAGATACAAAGAGATGAGCGTACATTGATTTGTATCTGCTGGCTTCCATGAAATTACTGAGTATGTGCCTTTATGAATTGTTCCTTATTCTTTTACTTGGTTATATTAATGAAAAACTATTCTTGGATTGTTGGTATGGGTCAGACACTGTGATGGGGGATGAAAAAAACATATTGTTTTTACCTTCATAAAGTTCTTGTATAGAAGGGCACCTAGTAAGAACCTAAACACAGTGCTATTTAATTAGATTTATAAGTGCTTAGCCTGGCCAGTGTGGCTCAGTGGTTGAGCGTTGACCCATGCACCAAGAGATCGCCAGTTTGATTCCTGGTCAGGACACATGCCCAGGTAGTGGTCCTGATCTCTAGTGTGGGGCATGAAGGAGGTGGCCAATCGATGTTCTCTCTCAACAGTGTTTCTATCTCTCTTTCCCTCTCCCTTCCTCTCTCTCTAAAATAAATAAAGAAAAAAATTATAAGTGCTTAAAAAGTATATGATTCTAAAAATCAACAGAAATTTAGCACATTATTCCTATAAAGAAGTATGTTAGATTTTGGGGAAATCAAAGTTACATGTAATGCAGTCCCAAGTATTAAAGACTCTAGAGTATAATGTGATAGACAAGTAATAGGCAATGCAAATAGGTGTTATAAGTGCTCTGATGGGTGTAAGCAACGTGTCGTCTGGAACACACAGGAAGATCACCTAGTCCTGTCTTTGGAGGTCAAGGAAGACTTCTTGGAGAAGGGACATCTAAGCTGAGTGTCCACAAAAGTAAGATTAATCGATAGTTAAGTGAGTGTGAGAGAGGGGGTGGTGGATAATATTTGGGGGCCTAGAATCTAGGCAGTGAAGCGAGAGTCTGGAGAGAGAATAAATAATTGGGGACCAAAAGTAGTTAATTATGACAAGAGCATATACATTTTGTCTTATTTTTAAAATAATGTGTTCTCAAAGAAATAGAGGGTTCATAGATTCCTGTTCTATACTTGTAAATGACACCACATAGTATTAGGAATTTATGTTTTGGTGTGAGAATCTCTGAGTTTGAAAGCCATCCCTTCCTGGCTTTGTGACTTTGGCCAGTGACTTAATCTCTCTGTACCTCATTTTGCTTATCTGTAATTTGATGATAACAGTATCTTCCACATATGTTTCCCATGAGGATCACACATCTCTACCTGAAAAGTGCTTAGAAGAATGCTTGGTACATAGGCAGTACTGACTAAGTATTAGCTAGTCCTGGCTCTAGCATTTACTACTGGCTGTGTGACCAGGCAAGTTACTTAACTTTGAGCCTTAGTTTCCTCATTTATAAATTGGAAATATCTCACCTTTCTCACTAAATCAGTATAAAAAATAGCTATTATTATTATTATTATTATTATTACCAGTATTAGTTACAGAGGAGGAAAATCCAAATTTTGGTAGATACTATTTATCATAA